AAATAAATAAACTTAATATTATTAATATACTTGAAACATGTCATATCACTTCAACATATAATCTATATTAAAAATTATGAATGTGGCTAGTTACATTTTTTACACAAAGTCTTTAAAATCCCATGTGTGTTTTACACTCAAAGCCTGTTTCCATTTGGACTTGCTACATTTCATGTGCTCTAAAGCCACGTATGGCCGGTGACTTCTGGCCTGTACGCTAGCTCTAAATGTCTCGTCTCACCGACCCAATCATGGTGCCATGTTTTCGTTTTCCATTCCCCAGAACCTACTCCTAAAGTATTTTAAAACATCAAAAACAAAGTAACTAATTGTTTACAAAGCAGAAGCTTTGAAGAAGCCTAAGGGAACCACATTTTTTTTTTCTCAGATTAAAAGGAGATTGCCCTTAGTTTGGGGAAGATGAGGGAGTCCCCAGGAGAAGGTGGGAACTGGCACCAGTTCTTTGCAGCACCTTGGAAAGAAGGCAGTGCAGTGTCTCCAGGGAGGAGGAGCAGGATCGGCATGAGCCAGAGCCCAGCGCGACAGCAGTGAGATTTCCTGTGCTGGTGAGGTCATAGAACAGGGACCCCAGAACAGATGTCTCATTCTAGACCCTCTCTCCAGATGTTTAGCCACCTCCTAGGAGCTCTGAACAGTGGCTCAGGCCCAAGAGAACATCCTTGACAATGACTAGGGTTAATTTCCAAAAGAGAGAAGGGGGCTGGATTGTTATCTTTATTATTATGAATTTTCTTGCATTAATTTTGAGTTTTAAAAATATTGCATTAACATGTATCAGTTTGTCAGGATAAACCCAACTACTATGTAGAGCTATAAAGCTCTAATAAAAAAAAAAATTATTGCATTCATCCAGGTGTGATGGTGCATGCCTGTAATCCCAGACACTCGGAAAGCTGAGATGGGAGGATTGCAAGTTTGAAGCCAGCCTCAGCAACTTAGCAAAGCCCTAAGCAACTCATCAAGACTCTGTGTCAAAAGAAAATATGAAAAGGGCTGGGGATGTGGCTCAGATATATATATATATATATATCAATCACACTGAAATATTTATTTCAATAAGCACATAAAAAGATGTTACCCATCACTAGTCATTAGGGAAACGCAAATCAAAAGCACAATGAAACACTATCTCCCACGCATTACTCCATGATTACTATTAAAAATACAGAATATAGCAAATGTTGGCAAACTTGTAGAACAATTTTACACTGTTGGGAACATAAGATGGGACAGCCACTGTGGAAAACAGTGGAAAAAATTGGGAAATGAGTTTTTGAGCTTCCTCAAAAAATCAGAAATGGCCTTACCATATATGATCCAGGAAGCCCACTGTAGGTATACACCCAAARTAACAGAAAGGAGGGTTTCAGAAAAACGTTTGCACAGTGCGGACTTAACGGTGTTATTCACAACAGCTGCAGAAGCACACAAGTGTCCACAGGTGAACGGATGAATGAACAGGACGTGGTCTGTACATGTCACTGAACCTGGCAGGCTTAGAAAGGAGGGAACTTCTGACACAGGCGACATCATCGGTGAACCGTGAGGACGAGGGTGAGGGCAGCCAGTCACAGGACGCACCCTGTGCGACTCCACTTAATAGGAGGGGCCTACGGTGGCACATTCAAAGGGAGAGAGGAGGGTGTCTGTCAGGCTGGGGAGGGGATGCGGGTGCTGTGGTCTGAATGCACTCCAGCCCACGTGACATATTCATAGGTGGGGCCTTTAGAAGTCATGTCAGTTACAGCTTCTTCATCACTGTGACCAAAAAAAAAAAAAAAACCCGACAAGAACAAGTTTAAGGAGGAAACATTTATCTGGAGGCTCATGGTTTCAGAGGTCTCAGTCCATAGATGGTGACTTTGTCACTCTGGGCTGGAGGGGAGGCGGAAGGGTGTGGAGGAGGGAAGCAGACGCAGACCAGAGTCAAAATATCTCCCCTGAAGGCACATCTCCCCACGCCCACCTCCTCCAGCCACACCCCACCTGCCTACAGGTACCGCCTGGTTAATCCCTATTAGAGGATCAATGCACTGATCGGGTAAAGGCTCTCGTAACCCAGTCATTTCACCTCTAAACCTTCTTGCATTGTCTCCCACATGAGCTTCCAGGGACACCTCACATCCAAACCATAACAGGAGTCATGAGGGTTCCACCCCCAGAAGAGAYTGGGGCTCTCATCAAAGGCTGAAGGGAGCCTCCACTTGCCCTGTTCTGCCCTTCCACCTCCTCTTCCATGGGAGGACCTGAGGTCCCTCCCCTGTGGAGGTCTCAGCAACAAGGCCCCATCATGGAAACAGAGACAAAGCCTTCACCAGACACTGAATCTGCCAGCCCTCTTGATCTTGGACTTTCTAGCGCCCACAGCTATAAAAATAAATAAATAAATAAATACATTTCTGTTCTTTATAAATCACCCAGTCTCTGGTATTTTGTTATAGCAGCAGCAACAAAGACATGGGAAGCCATTGTTTAACGGGTACAGAGTTCCAGTTTGGGAAGGCGGAAAGAGTTCTAGATTTAAGTGGTGGTGGTTGGTCGCACAGTGTGAATGTGATTTAGGCTACTGAAAAGTATGCTCAAAAATGGCCACAAGGATATATTTTAATACAATTTGAAGACCATTCTTATTTGGATCACAGATAGTTTTTTGTTTTGCTTAATTTGTGTTTTTGCATTGGTGTAAAGCTCTGAAAACCAATGATTGGAACCCCAAAAGACAATCACAGCAGGAAAGTCTTTAAGATTGCCAAATGAGTTCTATAAACAATGCTTCCCCAAGCCCTCACTCGACAGTCTCTGTTTTATCTACAATGGAGGCAAAATCATCTGCTAAGGAAGCCACCCCCCAACACACACACACACACACACACACACACACACACAACACCATCGACACACAACTAGAGGGTGGCCTGGGAAAACACACACACACACACACACACACACACACAACACCATCCACACACAACTAGAGGGTGGCCTGGGAAAACACAGCAGTAAGTGCTCCCAAGGGCCCGTGTGGCAATGGGGAGAGGGACTCGGTGCAGAAGAGGCCACAGGGCTGCTGTGAAGTGGGAGACCACACATTTTAGACCTTCAGAGTCTGTCACAGTTTTCCGGGCAGCTTCTTGAGTGGGAGAGCCAGGCTTTGAAACGTTGGCATTCGGGGACATTGTGACGGAAAGAGGAGACAAGATGGCAGATTGAGCATCTGACACTCTGCCCCCTCAAACCCAGAACGTGTGATCACTGGAATGGATTTAGAGTGACAAGCCACAACCAACACCTCCATTCTGAGACAAGGGTTTTTATCTGTAATTTAATCTGACGCTTCCCAGGGCTGGGAAGATAATGGCTGTGGACAACGGGAAGCTATGGGGTCGGGCAGGTTTCCCTTACAACTCAGATGGCAAATGTTGTGGCCTGAGTGTGTCCCCAGAGCCCTCGTGCTGGAAACTCAATTCCCAATRYAACAGTATTGGGGMTGATTAGGTCCAAAGGACTCTGCCCTCACGWATGGATTAAGGTCTTTATGACTGGCCTGGATTAGTTATTGAGAGAGAAGGTTTAAAAGCAAGTTAAGGGGCTGGGGATGTAGCTCAGTGGTAAAGTGCTTGCTTAGCGGGCGGGAGGCCCTGGGTTTGATCCCCAACAACACAAAAAAAAGGAAAAGAGAAAAAATCAGGTTCAGCCCTCTTTTGCTCTCTTGCTTCTGAATGCCTTTGCCACATGCCAGCACCATGCCCTTGAACTTACCAGTCTCCAGTACTGTGAGCCAAATAGATCTCTACTCTTTATAAATTACTGAGTCTCAGGTATTCTGTTACAGCAGCAGAAAACAAAGACACCAAGAAATCTACATAGACCCAAAGCAAATCCCATTCACAGTAACTGGCAAGGCTTAGAATGCCGGTGATACATTCTTCACCCTGATTGAATCAGTGCCCACCAAGGATCAGTCTTATTTGTTACTTTCAGTAGAACATCCAGAAGTAACTGTTTCTCAGATTAGCATCCATCTAACTTATGATTTGGCATTTTCTYGCATTCTCTGGAGGCATCCACTTGACAATCAGAACAGTCACCTACAGGAGTGCTCCAGTGAGTTCTACCAGAAACTACCCCCTGCTCTGCCCAGAGGGCACTAAGAATTTAAATCCGAGAAGTTGTGTRTCAGATGCGGGCTTCCAACCTGATCCCCTGCTGTGAAAGAGCTTCGACTATCTGCCCACTCTTCGGTCCCAGAGAGCCTTTGCCACACCATTAGGTCAACAGGAATCTTTCAGAGACCTGGAGGCTGCAGTTTGGCCCCCAAAGAGTGGCCAATAGCARAGCCAGGAGTCTGCGGATGCGGGGAGGGTGGAGACGGGTGGGCTTTCTTAGCTGCTAACTGGTCAGGAGCCACGTCATCTAACCATCAGACGGCAGACTGCATCCCTGCTTTTCTTGGCAGTATTTATTCAGTGTCTTGGGCACTTTGCAATTTCATCAACCCCCAAAAAAAGAGACTCCCACCTTTCATCTTCCTGAGATCACATTCCTATTTCTGGCTGGTTTTGTGGCCTCATTTCTTGAGTGAAAAAGGAGGCTCATTCAGCCTCCATAAAGGTCCCYGTGTGACCTCCACCCTCACAAGGGGCAGGAAGAGCCCAGGTTCTGGAGCCACAGGAAGGACAGCAGGACGTCCCCCTCAGAACTGCAGGGGTCCTCGTTTGCCTAGAACTAACTCCATCATGGACACACCTAAGGCCACACCTCCAGAAGGTTCTCAGGTAAGGAAACACGCATCGCTTAGGCCATTTCCCTGGGCCGTAACTGATGCCYGGTGGCCGGGCTGGGAGTCCCCCATGAACATCTGTGGGCTCTGCTCCTGYGCCACCATCATAGTGAGAAGGGAAAGGGGGTCCCTACCTAGTGACAGAGATCACCCAGRGTTAAGAAGGATAACTACGCGGCTCCTCTGGGGCTCCGGGTACCTGGGGGAAGTTTTCCTCTCAGCTTTCTTGAATTCCAAGTGATCACGTTGTCACCAGCCTCTGTGGGGAAAGCTGGCAATTCCATGCACTCTGTCCTCTCGGCAAACGCGTGGAACCTGAAACACAAGGACGTTCCCCGTGAAGCTGGAGAGGGGTGAGTGCGCCTCTCTGTTCAGGACTGTGAACCTCCTCTCTCTCCTTAGGGCTGAGCATCTGAATCTCACCACGTTCGCCCCTTTCCTTTACACACTATCAATTTCCACCAGCAGACGGGGAGGCAGGAGAGTATCGGAATTGGAAATGGTTTGGGAGGTTGTTTCTGTTTGTTTGGTTGGTACCAGGGATTGAACCCAYAGGGGTTTAACCACTGAGCCACAGCCTCAGTCCTTTTTTACTTTTTATTTTGAGATACMGKCTTGCTAAGTTGYTTAGGGYCTCATTAAGTTTCTGAGGCTGGCCTCAAACTTGTGATACTCCTGCCTCAGCCTCCCGGTCTAAAATGGTTTGGGATTTTACGTGATGATGTGTCTTTTCATTAGAGGGTAATTAGCTCAACCAAATGGTATTTTTTGGTTTTTGGAAAATGATATTCTATTCTTCTATTTATTCTTTGGTTCCTGGKATTCCAACAGGACAATAGTTTTGATGACTAGGGATTTTAATGCGGTGACCCTGTAGCAGCCATCCGCATGTGGGCCTGTTGAAGGCTGGGGATATGAGCAGCACTGGCTCATTCTCCCATTGCAGATGGGCCTCAGTCAGCTTTAACTCAGCAAACACATACTTCCCCTGGGACCCAAGGCGAAGTGCTAGTTAAAAGAATCGCTGTCCAGGCAAGTTTTCAGGGCCTGTCTACCCAAAGTGTGGTCCAAAGAACAACCGCAGTGGCAGGGCCTGGGAGTGGGTTAGGGATCCGCATCCCCATGCCCCGACCTGGGCCTGCTGGGTCAGAACATGCACTCGAATGTCCCCCGGGGTGCGTGTGCACATTAAAGCTTGACAAGCGCTGGTGAGGTTCACACAGGGTGGCGGGCTGTCACATGCCCAAACCCCCCTAACCGAAATCCAAATTGTCAATAATAGCACCAGGGCATTAGATTTTGATTGGCAGAGAAGGTCTTGGTAATGCTAAGGGTTCCGCCTCTGCCAGTTGGTTCTTGTTCGTTCAATGCAGAAAATCCTGCGGCAGAGCCTGGGGYGGATAGATGGGCAAAGAAATGGTAGGAGAGGTCTAGGGACCTCCTGGACCATGGGAAGCCTCACCCTTGCCTCARAGGTTCTGGGGAGACTCTGTGGCAGTGAATAAATCTCACTCCAGTGCCCCCTTCTAAGGCCAGCAGACTCAGACTGGCCAGGCCTGCCCCCTGCGAGAGCTTCATCCAGAACAGAAACTGCCAGTTTCCTTCGTCCTGTGACCTCCCGGCAGGGCAGGTGAGGGAGGCAGGAGAGGTCTGTCCTGGCAGAACCCACACCCTGCGTCTGGTGAGGCCTTTGGTGCCCAGGATTTTCCACTCTGATCCATTCTTCRGATTAGAAAAGAGAGCAGGAAAAGGTTTCCTCCGGCTGATACCACCTTGCCTGTGCAGAAGAAAATCACTTAATRGTGACATAATAAGACTCTAATGCAGCAGTGCTACACTGATGGTGCCACTAGACACCAACTCGGTGTCTAGGGACCACCTGAAGGGCCCATAAGCTGGGACCACCTCCTGCAAGCTGAGAGGCCCMCGACATACTGTTTCTGGTCAGATATTAACTGTCCTCTATCTGGGGCCCACAACCCAAGGCGTGCCAGAGCAACCRGGAGCCGTGGGTATCTGGGCAGGGGTGGAGCAGGCAGAAGCAGCATTGGCAGTGGGTAGCCTTGCTGTGAGGGCCCTGGGCAGGCACAGGAGGGTATATCTACATCTGCCCCTATCTTCAAAACACACCTCCACGCAGTCAGTAGGGAACCACAGCTTCTCCCGTGGTGAGTTACTCCCTGGGCTGTGGCATGCCCAGAGAGAGTGCCCCAGGTGACAGAGCAGAGGACAGTATGACTATATTTGGAGACAGAGTCCATAAGGAGAGAGTAAAGGTTGACTGGGATCAGCAGGCTGGGCCCTGAGCAGRCAGGATTAGTGACCCTGTAAGAAAAGGAAGGGAGAACCCGAGAGTTCACCTGCTCTCTTCCCACCAGGTGAAGCTGTGGTGAGAAGTCAGCTGTCYACAGCCAGGAAGACAGCCCTCACCTGAAACCAAGTGGCTCCTAACCTCTAGGACGCTGAGAAATAAATTTCTGTCTTTAACCCACCTGGCCTCTGATATTTTGTTCTGGYGGCGTGCAAGAGTTCAGTTCCAGAATGTCTTCCAAAGGTGYRTGTGTTAAAGGCTAGGTCCTCAGCTTGGCACTCTTGGGAGATGGTGGGACCTTTAAGAGGCGGGGCCTAATGCAAGGTCTTTAGATCATTTGGGGAGTGCCCTTGATAGGGATCATGGAACCCCAATCCCTTTCTCTTCTTCTCTTTTGCTCTCTGGCCATGAGGTGAGCCATGTGCTCCTGCCACAGGCCCAAAGAAATGGGGCCAATGAATCACAGACCAAAACCTCCAAAACTGTGGACCAAAATAAACCTTTGCTCTTTATAAGTTGATTACCTCAGGCGTTTGTTATAGTGACCCAAAGCTGGCTAATACACTGTCCAAGTGGACTAAGATACTTCCCAAGAGAAGGGAGTACACCATGCCACACAGGATTRGTCAGGAGGCAGAGGGGTGAGGGGCCCTTATTCTGGTTTCCGTAGGAAGGGAGAGGGGAGACCACGTAAGCAGGTTTAGGATTCRCTAATTTGAATCATCTGAGTGAGCTCTGGGGGTGGGGTCTGTCCTGAGCTGTCTGGTGTCTAGCCCTGGGCTGATCAGCATGAAGGACACTGGTCCTGAGTGCGAGAGCCTGGACTGAGAGGTGGGCCCTGGGTGAGTGGGTTTGCTATGACAGGTGCACCCAGGCCCGTGCTTTGCTGTCTCTAGGGACTGGCTCACCCTGGGAGGACAGTCTCCCCAGAGTCAGAGTCCCTAAAAAGTCAAAGCATGAGAGCTACAGAAAACAAAAAAGGTGTGAATGACATGGGATACAGAAAAAAAGCCGGGGGAGGGTACACAGAGACTAAAGAGGACAGAACAGAGAGAGAATCCAGCAACTGACTGGGTAAGAAGGCCACCAAGACCCACTGTGAGCCCGGCTTAAGTGGGACACCGACTTGAGACTCCCGTAAGTGTCCTCCCACCTACCTGCCGTGGGTCTTGGCGCTCAGCTCCTTCAGGAAAGCTACCATGCCTTCTCCTCTGGCGTTGAAGGACACTGTGTGCACAGGATGTGGGATGYCCAAAGCCCTCTGGAGGAGAAGCTCCCTGGACTCCGCCGGAATGTCCCCCACCACGAAGTAGTAAATGGACTCAATCTGTAAAACAGTGGTGCCCATCAATGGTTCGTGGACCTGCGTGCCCCTGACGGGCAACAAACGCTCTACAAAACCACTTCTTTAAAAAAAAAAATGGCAGCAAGAATAGCGCCAGTACTCCATGTCTGTGGGGGTGCTGGGAGGTAAAGTCAGCGAGTGAGGTGATCAGGGCTGCCGCCCAGAGACGACGSAGGCCAGAGAGCAGGGGCTGCGGTCTCGGGGTTGCATGGGAAGAATGTGGCTGTCACACATCTAGGAGCAGTTGTGTGCAAATCAAGAAACGAGGGAGGCCTGGGCACGGCAGCTGTGGGTAGGAAGCTTATCAGCCACTTCCCGAGGAGGTGCCAGAATTCTGCAGTGCCCCTCGCCCATCCTCAGCCGGAGGCAGGGTGTGGGAAGGGGGGCATATCCAGCTGCTTCCTGCTCTGGTCTCCTGTCACCAGGGAGCAAGAGGCCTGGGGACGTGAGGCTGTCTTGACTTTAGGCAGCTGGTCGGGAGCCAGGCCGGCCCCAGGCTCACTCCATGCTGCCATGCCCCAGGCTGACATTGTATACAGTGAGCCACCTGGGTCAGGGGCCACAGACCGCCCCTCCACACAGACACCTTAAACCAGGGATTCTGGGAGATGCGTACCTCTCCCTTCTAGGAGACAATCCCCCCAAGGGGGTCCCTGTTTAATGCAGACCGATGCCCACCCAGGAGGGCCCCAGGACAGCKGTCCTCCCCCAAACACACCACTCCACTCTGTTCATCCCCGAGACTGGCTTCCAGGACGTGGATCKCCCCAGATACTGATGAGTTCTGTRATCTCTGGGACAGGGACCTMGCTTCAGGGCCTTCACTTATAAGCAGGGAGACAGTGAACTCCTCTTCGTGGTTGAAGGACATTTGTATCTGTGCACATGTATTTACACCAGCCTCAGAGAGTGAAAACCAAGGAGAGCTAGGAATGCCGTCATCTCAACCCAGAAACGTCCTGAGGGATGGTCTCTACAGGCAACTGGGGATGAGGCCCCAGCAGGTGGGCGGYGTTTTAAGGGATAAATAGGTTTCACCCCTCTTTTGGGATTCACAACCCTCTCCCTGCTTTCATCCCAAACCCCAGCTGCAGATTGCTAGCAAATGGTCCTCCCTTAACTCCAAACCTGGGACTTCAACTCACCTGGCAGAGGGGGTGGACTCACAGCTGGTTCCCCAGCTAATCAGGGTGGAGGTGGGGGCAGGGTGGCCGAGGACTGGGGCCAGAGTCAGAGCTGGAACCAGGTGACACCACCCTCCCTCCCATCTCTCAGATCTTTCAACACCAGCTCCTTGACACTAAGGAGCACCACAGGGAGGTGAAGGCCAAGCTCCAACCTCTCAGTCAGCCTCCTGGGAGGCAGAGGGAAATAGAGGAAGAAACCATGTTCTCCCAGTGACTTATTAGGCAACTCAATTCTTCTTCCCGCCAGTGCATCTTATTTTGTTCTTCTTCTGATATAAATGACCTGGCAGAGGACGCCCTAACAGGGTCCCACTTCACCGCACCGCTGTTGACAAGTTTTTCAGCTGTGTCTGTGCCCAAGTTTAGCATCCTGGGGACAGGGTCGTCCTAAAATGACACATGGCTCAAGACAAGGGACAGACACAGGGCACCTTCTGGGATTCACAAGTGACCTGATGGCTGATCTGTCTGCAGATCAACCGGGAGGTAGGCACCGAGTGCCGAGGGGTCGTGGGCAGCGCTGAGCCCCGCCTGTGTGGCAATAACCCAAGCAGCCACATTCCTTGGGCAGCGATGGTTTCTCCCCAGATGGCTGTGGCCAGCAGTGAGTCAGAATTTCCTTTCCTTCGCYGAGCCTATGGCATGCTTCACTGTTCATTAACTTTATTAAATTCGGCTTCTGAATCACATGTTTTCGGGCTGCAGAGGCCCTGGGACATGCTCAGCATGGAGGCCACCCGGCTCCACCCGCTTCTGCAGACAGGCTCCTTTCTGGTTTCCTTTCTGCTCACATTTAGAAAAACAGAGAGGGGGATAAACGCGACACCTATCCCCCTCTCTCTCCAAACTGATAAAACTGTTCCTTAAAGTAAAATGGCTTTACTGTTACCTGCTTCGTGGGACGGTAGGTGAAAATGGGTGATTTGATCCCTCRTTCACAACAGCCTCATGGAGCCTGCTTTTACCGTTAGCATGCCCAGTTTAGACATGAAGAAACTGAGGCTTAGGGTGGTGGATTGACCTGGCCTAGGAGCTGGCTGCCTGACCCAGGAGCTTCTGTCCTGCTTTCTGACCACCCTGCAGTGTTGGATTTAGAAAGGCTGGTCCCCCCTGAGAGATGAATGTGAATCCGGGAACGATGAAGTCAAGGTCAGGGGGCAGAGGAGGYGGACCAGGCCGGCACTCTGTTCACTGGCTGGGCTACCCCACTGTCCAAGGGTTCGGGCTCCTCCGCCCGATGTCAACACTGCTGGCCGTGGCTGTAAGGGGGTTGTCCTCATGGGAATGCTCACCCTTGGCCATAAACTCAGCCCCCAGGGCCAGGGCCAGCCTTGAAACCCAGCAGCAGGAGCAGCGTCCCGGGTGGCCGGCATTCCCCTAGGGACTGATGTGCACCCAATTTGATAAAATAATGCAAAGGCTCCAATCGGTCACCTAAGAGTGAGCCACAAGTTCTCACGGTTTTTTATTACATAAGACAAGGTGGAGCCTCCACGCCGTTGCTTGGAAGGCCTGTTCCGTCTGGGCCATTTGTTCTGCAGCTCCACACAGCCGTGGGCACTCTGCCCACCCACGAAGCCCTTGGCATCTTCCCAGCTGTTGCTCTGGGGTGGGGGCTGGGGAAGGAATAGCAGGGAGTGGCCACCTCTGTTCCCACTGCCCTCTGCGAACCAGCCTGACGTCCTGCTGGGTATCAAGATCCCCACGCTCCAGGAGAAGTGAAGAGGGGTCCAGCAGAATTCTCCCTTGACCTTGGAACGCTGCACCTTTGGGGAGACACCAGACCTCAGGGTGCGCCTCCAGGTCTTCCCTGTGCCTGTTTTGATTGGTCACCACCCACTGTCCAGCCTCTCAGGCTTCAGGGTCCTTGTCCCTACCCTCACCCCACCAGGGATCTACAAAGCTCAGCAAATTCACCACTCTGGTCCTGAGCAGACACCTCCCTCCAATTTAAAAAAAAAAGAAAAAAAAATCAAAATTCTCAAATCTGGACATTGGGGATCAGATCTCTTAGTCCCACATCTAGCCCCCAAACTCCAGCATGTGACCATTATTTCCAATTCATCCCATCAATGTCCAACAAACAGGGACACACAAAGAAAAGATCTGATGCCTGTCCAAGCCACCAGAAGGAAATAAATGAGATGCTAGATTCACGCACCCACAGGGCCAGGCCTTCAGCTTATTGACCAGCATCACAGGTTCCTTATGGAAAGGTGCAGGTCAGGTCTCTCAGTGAATATGATTTTTTAAATATATATTTTTAGTTGTAGATGGATGCAATACCTTTATTTTATTTTATTTTTATGTGGTGCTGAGGATCGAACCCAGTGCCTTCCACAGGCAAGGTGAGCACTCTATACAGCTGAGCTACATCCCCAGCCCCAAATATGATTTTTTAAAACCAAAAAAAACAACAAATTCACCAGGCACAGTGGTGCATTCCTACAATCCCAGCAGCTTGGGAGGCTGAGGCAGGAGGATTGTGCATTCAAAGCCAGCCTCAACAAAAGTGAGGCCCTAAGCAATTCAGTGAGACTCTGTCTCTAAATAAAATACAAAATAGGGCTGGGGATGTGGCTCGGTGGTTGAGTGCCCCTGAGTTCAATCCCCAGTAATGCTCTCCCACGCCCCCCCCCCAAAAAAAAAACAGATTCATGACTACCAGGCAGATGGGAGAGAACAAAAAAATGGAAATACAGATGTCTTCTCGTCATGGAGCCTTCTCCTGAGGGCAGTCAGCTTTCTTGGGTGGCCTAAGCCAGGGCTCTGGGATAAACAGTCCTCTCTCCCAAGGACCTGGGAAAGGGGAGGCCAGGGYCTCCCAACAGACCTCTCCTCCTCAGAAAGGCCAGGGAAGCTGCCAACTTCCAAAGCACAGAGGAGGCTGGGGAACAGAAGCCCATGCCGGTCAGCACACTGGGCTGGCAGGACAGCAACCCCTCTCCTGCAAGCATCTCCTCAACAACCTTCCCRGGCATCAGGTCCTTTTCCATGGGATTCAGTAAGAATTCACCCATCAGTAGTGTTCTTCACATGCTTTATGGGAGCCACGATTTAAAGGCCCCCTCGCCCTGCCTGGGCTCCCTGCTGGGTCTCCAGCCTACCTGCGGCCACAGAGCCTGGTCCTCACATGGACTTGATACAAGACCCAGGCTTCCGTGTTGATTTTTGGACCCAGGATGATACCCACGGTCCTGATTCCTCTTGGTGCACCCTCATGGGGGCAGAGGCTCAGGCAAACCTGAGGAATCATCAGTGTGAGAAATTGATAGTTACTGCTCCAGAAGTTTCTTAAGCCTTAAATCTTTTCTCTTCCTAGCAGATGGCAGCTACATGCTGGAATGCGAAACTCCCTGGGGTGGTCAGGAGGGGCCCGGAGCAGAGGAGCAGGCCACCCTGGGAACCTATTCCCCCCCTTTTACATACACATGCATGCTCTTAAAAAAAAAAAAAAAGGAATATCGGCCTGGCATTTTTATATATGAGACAGCTGCACTCACTGGAGGAAAACTTGGGACCACCCCAGACAGAGGCTGCGGGCAGAGGGACAGAGCAGCCTGTGTCGCCTGGAATTTCCCACGCGCTCCCAGCTCTTGTCAAGAGCTTGCGGGTTGCGTTTGGTGATCAGCACCTGCGAGCTCGCTCCTGGGTTCCCCCTCTTCTGTAGGACCTCCCTGGGACTTGCTGAAGCACTCCTCATTTTCCAGGCCAGAGATGCACATTTTCCAGGCTAGAGAGAGGGGAGCCCAGCCGGAGGGAGGAAGGGGAGAGAAGTAAGGTCCCAGGGAGATCTTGCAGTTACACCAGGCRGGCTGGTCAGGTTCAAGGCGCACTCAAGAGCACACACATCCAGGAGACTGGGAAATGTCCCATTTCTTGAAATGCAATACTAAGGTGTCGGGAATCTTGGCATTTTTACAGATGTTGAAACAATCTGGAAGGACCAAAGAACAAAGTGGCTTGTATTTGGTTCTTCCTTAACAGAAAACATTTGTGGGTCTGGCTTTCCGAGGAAAACTGTGTGTTTCCAATTTCAAATCGTCACTGATAAACGCAGATCAGTGAGCTCCGGGAGCGGTCCTTTCATGGGGGCCAGCACAGGGCCTGCTTGCCCAGGACAGGACTTCTGAAGGCAGCCGGGGAAAGCTGGAAACCTACAGAAAGGCCAGGCTTCCAGAGCCCAGGAAGCAAGTGCGGATACAGCAGGCAGACCCACGGGGACCTGGGGACCCTCCTCTCCAGAAAGTCCCTTACCAGCTTGGCACTGCCCTCACAGTCTCCCAGTGACCCTGGGACTGAAAGAGACCTGAGATGCTGCCATGTAAAATCGCTCCTTCTAGGTTAAGCTTTATTTCCAGAAGGTTCTTTCCAAATGCCTGTGTCAGCACATTAATGATCAAAGATGGAGGCTCCTGGGCTCGGATATACTTCACCTCGGAAAGCACAAAACAGTTCCATGTATGAAGAGGAGGACCTGGGGAGCCTCAGAACGCGGATGCTGATGCCGGGGACCCCCTAGTTCCCCGTCCTCAGAGTCCTCTGGCCTCTCCTCCCCTCAGGGAAGGAAGGTGGCCTCTAACTGGCCGGAGGGCGAGAGCGGAATGAATGGGTTGGAGCTGTACAGCGATGGCCTCCCTCCCGTCCTTTCCCGATGCTCAGGGGCTGTGAGCAGTGCTGGTCTCTCCTGGCACTCGTGCCCCCAGCCCCAGCCACCTCAAAGAAGCCCAGCCAGGCTCAGGGCACAAGCCTGAGGGAGCCTCTGTGTGGTCGGTGYAGCCCAGCTCTACTGTCACCAGGGCCGCTCCCTGCCTCCCTCTCTGGGCCCTGCAGACGGTTTCTCAATCGGCTCAAAATTCAGAGTTCAACCAGGTCAACACCCAGGGGCCTCTCCGGTGCCAATGACSGGGGCCTCTCGGGCATGCTGCGGGTGTGGGGAAATCAAGGTCAGCTGAAGGACAGCGTGAAGACGCCCTGGGGCCCCGGGCGGACTGTGGACACACACTTACAGTCTCGTCGTTCCCAGCTTCCAGCAGAGMGTCTAGGCGGCAGATGGCGCTCGACGTGGTCAGCTCAAAACGCAGCTCCTGGACCCAGCACGAGGCCGCGGCTATGCACTGTGGGGTCACCGGGATGGCSTGTTCTTGCCATTTCACAGGCTCCTGAGTAACCCTGAAAGGAGTCACACGGGTGGTCACAGGGCAGTGATCAGTGCCACCAGAGGAATGTCCAACCTCAGTCCCCGGGCCACAGACAATGGGCCTCCTAATGTCGTATCCTCCGCAGTGAGGAGGGACGCAGGTCCCAGGCCCTTGAGAGTCACCAGGAAAACTTAAAACTTGGTGAAGATGGGCCTGTCTTGCCGAGGAAAGTGTACCTCTTGAATGCACCCCGTAATTGTGAGGTGACATTATCTTCCACAAGCCACACTGACTAGGAAAAACAATGTTGACTTCAGAATAAGAAAAACTGAGAAATGTAAACAGTAACAAGTTCTTTAAAAATATCCAGATAAGCTATTTTCTTAAATGGGCAGGTTTGTATGAAACTGTCTTTCATTGACAATAAACACACAAAAAACTCACAGTATAACAACTTTGCATAAATTTTATTTCTAATTCTTCTTCTTTTTTTTTTTTTTTTTGGTATGAGATTTTGAACCTAGAGGCGCTTCACCACCGAGTCCCATTCCCAGCACTTTTAATTTTGTTATTTTGAGACAGGGTCTTCCTAAGTTGCTTAGGGCCTCACTAACTTGCTAAGGCTGGCTTTGAACTCTCAATCCTTCTGCTTCAACCTCTCAAGCCGCTGAGATTACAAGCGTGTGCTACTATGCCAATTCTTTCTTTCTTTTTTTTTTTTTTAAGAATTTTTTTTTAGTATTTATTCTTTAGATTTTGGCGGACACAACATCTTTGTTTGTATGTGGTGCTGAGGATTGAATCCGGGTTGCACGCATGCCAGGCAAGCGCGCTACCACTTGAGCCACATCCCCAGCACTCCAATTCTTTCTTGACATTTCCTTGTTCTGAAAAAGATTCCCCATCGGTCACCTTTTTTCAGATCAAAAAATGAATTGTTTTGAATTCAACAGAGCATTGGTTTTTAAATCCTGAGAAAATTTGGTAAAACCATTGAGTTTGAGTTTGGAAACAACAGGTGGAAAACTCCAAAATGCGGAGCCGTTTGAATGGATGCGTGCTTATAATTGCAAATAAATTGGCCTGACAGTCGCTCACGGCCCGCCTCCAGAGGCAGAGCTAGCTCACACTAGGGTCCCTTCTGTGTGGCTTTTCCAGGTAGAAAAAACTGAGCACTGAGTGGCATGTACACTTCAGTAAATGTTCCAAGGAAGCAAAACTTTTGCAAACTTCAGCATCTGCTTCCTTTAATAACACAGAAACAGGAGGCGGGGGGGCACACCGCCAGGATCAAGAGGTCCTCTATTTAGCCCAAAGCATTTTATTTAAAAAAGACAAACTGAGCTAAGCAGACTCCCCTCCCCCTCGGCAACCAGGTGCTTCTTCTCTGGGAGGTGCAACCATTGCTTCAGATGGAGGGTGAGCACCCAGGCCCAAATTCTTCCCCATCCAGGAATCGGTAAATAATTGGCTGTGAAAACTCTAAGATCCGGGAAATTCTGTAAAGCCAGCCACCTGTCGTTTGGATGAAAGGAGTCAACTTACAGGAGAGGTCAACTTGAGTTGCAAATTCGGTCTGGAAAAACAAGTGAAGTTTGTGGCCTTTGAATTTATTATTTTAGCTAAAATCTAAACTGAGCGAGGGGATTTATGGCCTTAAATATTTGTTGAATACGTGCAGAGGGTTCCTATTCTCGTATTTTTCAACTTCCCTAAGTTAAAAAGTATGTTTCTAAATCTCTTATTTCTGCAGGGGGCGGGGGACCGAACTCAGGGTCTTGCACACACCAGGCAAGGGCTCTGCTACTGAATTGCACTCCGGGTCCTAAATCTCTCTCTTTTATACATATAATATTTGTAAATGGACACAGGACCTTTATTTTTCCTTATTTTTCTGTGGGGTTGAGGATGGAACCCAGGGCCTCCCACAGGCTAGGCCAKCGCTCTACCACTGAGCCACGAGCCCAGCCCCTAAATCTGTTTTAACAAGAACATCAAGATGCTTGGTGCAAAGCAGATTAACGTTTCCTGATATTTTTTCATTGTGAGTTTTCTGCTAAAATTGTCTATTCTAGGAGTTTTCAAGATGGTCCCCCCCCCCACCCTCACCCCCGGCCGGACAGAGCTGCGCCTCTCTGAAGGACAAATACCTGCTGATCGCTGTGGCTCTTCCCGGCCCTCCGTGCTTCCCCTGGGGACTCACCATATGAAATTGAACCTGGCGACCTGAGCCACCTGCTCCCGCAGGACCATGGTCAGAGCCTCTCGGCACAGAGGAAGCTCGCCCTCCAGAAGGTCGCCCAAATCCAGCACGAAGGTGATGCACTGTTCCAGGATGACCCCGAAAATCTGCCGGCTTCCGCTGGTGAGCCAGTCCATGCGCCGCCTGCAGCTCTCCAGGGCTTGTTCTAAGGACTCCGCGAACCGCTCGATCAGTTCCGATTTAGCCGTCAGCTGGATGACAATAAAAGGAACAAGCAGAAATGAGAAGAGGGCGCCAAAATAAGTCACCTGGACCGCAGCGACGCCMTCAAGAGCTGAGGGTTCAAAACAGCTTTGCAAATGATCCTCCAAATCCTGCAGGAAAAATCTCCAGCCTCTCAACCGAGATACCCTTGGATGGATGGCGCCCACAGGTGCTGGTCCAGGGCCAATTTCAGGACTTGGAGAATTCAACTTGGATTCTTGCCGAGGGCCAGACTCGGTTTACATTTTTTTGGACAGTCAGCCCTCCAGCATCCTCAGATTCAACCAGCGTGGGATGGAAAATATTCAGAAACAAACTGTATCTGTGATGAACATGGACGTACAGGCTTTGCTCCTTGTCATTGATCCCTAAATTAATGAAAGAGCTACCAGCATGGCCTGGACATGGCCTTAGGTATCACAAGGTATCTCTGGCCAAAAGGGCTTTGCGCTCATCTCTTGCTGGTCCAGGGCTTCCTTGCACACAGCTCCTGGGCTGTGAGCTCATCAATGGCACTGGCCAAAGGAACCCTTCCACCTGAATGGCCACCCCCTCTGTGACCTGAGGTGACCTCAGCATGTCACCAGACCTGGCCTCGGAGGCAGCTCTGACTTACGTTGTACACTCTGCCATCTTCTGCTCGGTAGAACTGCGGAAACAGGCCAACGGCATACCGAGAAGCCACGGGTCTCCTCAGAGAAGCCACATAATCTGCATTTTTATAAAGAAAGACAATCAAAATGGTGCTCAAGAGGTAAAATCAATAATCAATAAATGGGATGGTTTCAAACTAAAAAGCGTCTTTGAAGCAAATGAAACAATCAAGAACATGAAGAGAAAGTCAACAGAATGGGAGTAAATCTTCACCACCTGGACTTCAGAGAGAGCATTCATCTCCAGGATATAAAAAGACCTTAAAAAGCTTAACACCAATAATAATAATAATAATAACCTAACCAATAAGTGGGCAAAGGAACTGAACAGAAGAAGAAATATGAATAGACTATGTGAAAAAGTGTTCAACATCTTTAGCAATTAAATAAATGCAAATTAAAACCATACTGAGATTTCATCTCACTCCAGTCAGAATGGCAAATATTAAGAACACAAGTAACAATAAATGTTGGTGAGGAATGGGGAAAAGGCACACTTATACTTTGCTGGTGGGACTGCAAATTGGTGCAACCACTATGGAAAGCAGTATGGAGAGTCCTCAGAAAACATGGAATGGAACTATCATTTGACCCAGTTATCCCACTCCTCAGTATATATCCAAAGGATTTAAAATCAGCATACTCTAGTGAAATAGCCACATCAATGTTATGGCAGTTCAATTCACAATAGCTAAGCTATTGGAACCAACCTAGGTGCCCTTCAACAAATGAATGGATAAAAAAAAAATGTGGTATATATACAGAATGGAATATTACTCAGCCATAAATAAGGATGAAATTATGGCATTTGCCAGTAAATGGATGGAACTGGAGATTATCATGCTAAGTGAAATAAGCCAATCCCCAAAAAACCAAAGGCCGAATGTTTCCTCTCAGATGCACATGCTGACTCACAATAAGGGAGCGTGGGGAGAGGGAAGAATAGAAGTTCACAGGCTTAGACAAAGGAAAATGGGGGCATGGGAATACGAAAGAATCACACATCACTTTCCTGGTTCATATGTGAATACATAGCTAGCGAAACTCCACATCATGTTCAACACAAGAATGGGATTCTAATCAGAATAAGTCATACTCYGTGTATATGTAATATGTCAAAATACACCCTACCATGAAAGAAAAATGGTGCACTGTCAAAGCTTCTTATTTGTATTTCACAATGATTTTTTTCCCTGACACCGTTCAAGTTATACCCCCAGCAACACCGACAATTGGTGATGTTTTGTGTTCTATCCTAAATCGGGAAGCATCCCCAGATGCTGTGGAAAACATAACTTTAAATAGAATCTTTTAATGAATGAACAACTGGGAGGCAGAACAGAGCTCCCCTCCTGGCTCCCTGGTTCTCTCGTCCAGATTAACTAAGGCAAATGGACGACATGGTAAAGTGTTTAATTCTTGAAAACTTCTCTGGAAGACTTTGGAACTTGGAGAATTCCACTTAGATATCATCTAGCCACCGTTCTCTCTAGCGGACCTCACGACTAAATGCACGAAATGTAGGATGCGAGTAATGGACTCAGAAGACCCCAACACTGAGTCAGAACCACGGGGCTCTCCTTATCAGATCAGGTGCTCAGCCTTATGAACATCTCTCAGGCAGCTGCTACCTACTGGGCTCGGGGCTGACAAGACGACATTCCCTAAAACATCTTCCTACTCCTCCCTGGAACTTCCAGAAGGTCACAGAGGCTTTAGGGACAACAAGGGCCCCGCAGGACATAAGCTGGAAGCTTCACAGAAGTGCTCTTATAGGATGACGATGATGTTATTGTGGTGGTGAAGTCCCCAAAGGTGACAGACAGCTGGAGGTATTCCTCACCTTCCCCTTTCTGGGGAGAAAGGGTAACAGCTACCTTGGAAAGGTGGAAAGATCCAGGTTGAATTTTATAGCCGCCCTGGCCAGGCTTGGTCCCTCATCACAAGGGGTGATAAAATTCACCYGCCTTGAGGTCCAGCTCTCATGGTCAGCTATACCCCTGCTCAAGAGACCTCTCCCACTTGGAAATCTGTATTTCCGAGGGTTCACCTTCCTGGCTGGCATTGATGGAGGGACTTCAGGTCGCCAGCAGCATTCAGCTCTTTACCTGAGACATTTATCTGGGCTCAGGAGAGGGGCTGTATGTGAGGCTTGAGGGGGTGGGTCCCTGGCAGGCTCCGCAAGCTGTATGGCCAATTGGAACGGGAGGTATGGTGGGGTTCTGCCTCCAGTGGTCGGGAGTAGATTTGATCAGCTGAACTTCACACAGTGATAAACTGTGGAAGAAATGTAGAGACAACTATCCAAAGGCCCTGGAGGGCAACCCAGAACAGGCAAAAACTGGAGTAGCACTCATCCTTCAAAGGAAGGCACAAGCCCGGTGGGATGTGCACGCCTGTAATCCCAGCAGCTCGGAGGCTGAGGCAGGAGGATCCCAAGTTCAAGGCYAGCCAAAGCAACTTAGTGAGGCCCTGTCTCAAAATTTAAAAAATAAATAAATTAATAAATTAAAGGGGCTATGGCTCAGTGGTTAAGTTCCCCTGGGTTCAATTTACTATTTATTTAGCAGGAGAGAGTTTGGAGTTTGGGTTCAGCCGAGTTAACTGCCTGCTAGGATAAAACCCAGCTCTCCACCTATCAACTGGTAAGTGGATAAACACACTGTGGTGTATCCACACCAGGAATATGATGTGGCCATAAAAAAGAATAGCAAACTGGTACGTGCTACAGTATAGAGAATCTTTAAGATGTGAACCAAACCAGCGACCAAAGACCACTTATTGTAATTCCCACATATATGAAATGTCCATAGCAAGCAAATCTATGACAGACAAAATCATATTCCTTACAGCTGGTGGGTGGGGGTCAGGGAGAGGAAGTGAGAGCTGAGGAGCACAGGGTGGCTGCCTTTCGGGGAGATGAAGCCGCTCTAAAGCTGACGGTGGGATTTTTATAGGTATCTGTGGATATGCTCAAGATCACTGAATCGTACACTTTAAATGCATCATCAACGTGAATCATGTCTTAATACAGCCCATTATCTTAAAATCAGTTTTAAAAGARCAATGAGGAAGCATCTGCCCAGTAGAAACCAAAGAATCACCAGATAGAAAAGTCAGGAAACCATGACCAATAGTCACGAGAAAACGCAGTCATCAATAGACCTGCCCCAAGAAGCCAGACGTTGGGACTAGCAGAAAAGGGCCTCAACATGTTCCTAAGTGTTTTCATTCATAAATATCAGCAAACTATAATTATTTCTATTTAACATTATAAGTGTGTTGAAGAGAAAGAAAAGTAAGGTCCTAACAAGTGAACAGATGAGGATCTCAGCAGAGAAATTGAAAGATCCAAAAAGAAAATTTGAAACAAAAGTGCTGCTTGGATGTGGCTGAGGTCAGGTACTGAGGTGGCAGTACATTTAGCAGAATTATGATGAGAGAGTGGCTGGGGGTGTAGCTCAGTGGTAGAGCATTTGCCTCACATGTGTGTGGCCCTGCGTTTGTTCCTCACCAAAAAAAAAAAAAAAAAATTGTGATAAGATAAGCATCTTTTCTTTATGAAGTATCCTGCCTCCGGTATTTTGTTATAACAATACAAAATGAACTGAGACAAGTACAACAGCTGTATCGGCCTAACAGCAAATTAGAAGTGTGAGAATAAAGTGTTAGTTGCCTTGAAAATCTGTGAAGAGGAATCCCCAGTCTAAAGAGCCACAACAACAAAAGTTTATGTAAATCAACAAAAGTTTCGGTGATCTGTGGGGCGAACTCATGATGTTCAACATCATTATAACTGGAGTCTCAGAAGAAAAGGAGAGAACACATGGGGAATAAATATAGATTAGAAGAAATAATAGCTGAGAGTTTCTAAGATTTTTCTTTAAAAAATAACTTACAGAGCCAAGTTGCTCAACAAATCCCAGGCAATATAAATACACAGAAAATCAAACCAAGGCATAACATTATATAAAGAATAGTACCATAACTTAAAAACAAAAATAAAGAGAAAAATCTTAAAAGCAGCCAAAGGAAAAAAGAAATGGCATGCATCCCACACAGAGAAAAAGCACTACGAATATGGATGAGTGCTCAGGTGACATGGTGGATTTAGATATTTAAAGGTCAGAAAGACGGGTTAAGTGAAATAAACCAATTTCCAAAAAGCCAAAGGTCAGATGTTCTCTCTGATATGGGAATGCTGACCCATGAGAAGTGGAGGAGAGGAGGAATAAAAGCTCAGTGGATTAGACAAAGGGGAATGAATGGCAGGAACAGGAATAAGAAAGACAGTAGAATGAATCGGACATGACCTTCGTGTGTATGTACATGAATACACCACAGTGAATCTCACCATGGTGTACGTCTACAAGATAATAAGGGGTCCTTATTAGCATCAGATATATTCCATGCTTATATAATTATATCAAAATGGATTCTGCTGTCATGTATACCTAAAGTGAACCAATCATTAAAAAGGTCAGAAAGAAAACAAATATTAACTAATAATTCTATATCCAGCAACAGCATCCTTCAGGAGTGAAGGCAAGGGCTTCGGTATCTGGGAAGATGGAGAAAATGCACTTTTCCCTATTCCTCTCTTAACTAAGTACAACCAAAAAATTATGGACATTATAATATTAAAACAGTCTAGGAATACTCTAAAAGATGCCAAGGAGGTAAATGGACTAGGGAGCTYGGCACACAAAGAAAGGTGCTCTACTCCAGCCAAATGCCAGAGAAAAGATGCATCCGCACCTCCCATATCTACTAGCGAAGGCCGGGTGGAGAGCTGAGATGGCTGGCCTTGGCAGGCTACAGTAGAGTACACCAGAACCTTGCTGCGGCTCTATCAAAGAAGGCAGAGCAGAGAGCCAGGACTCTGAGTCCACCGGTCAGCAACAAGTGACCCCAGCAGGCTGTCTGGGAGGACCTTGGAGGCAGCCTGGGATTCCCACTGCCCCAGCCATTCATGAAGCAGCCCTCCCTGTTTTCTCTAGGATGGCGTCAGAGCAGGCCTTGTGATAGGTCAGGACTTTTCCACCCCTGAAAAGTAAC